CGTTTTATTTCATACACATATTATTTGGTGAGCAGTTTGTTTAATAAAGTTTTATGTGTGCGTCATATAAAGTAGGCGTAATAGTAAACCAATACTGACTAAAACGAATCTCGTATGACCACGTTTAATATTAACACTCTATACATGTAGTAAGAGAAACTTTCTAAATGGTGTGGGCCGTGGAACATGCTGAAACTGGTTTACATGCAGAGAGGCGAAAATTACACGACAATTATGTGTTCATTTGACGTCCTTTCATACCGCGTACTTTGTAATTGTTTCGGCTATAATAAAATACGTCGGTGTTTTTACACTATACATTAAGTCACTTTATTTACTTGTATTCTTCATCAATTAGTATGGTGATCAGATCAATGAGGATGAGATGGGCTACCTATGCAGCACGCATAAGGACGATAGGGCAGAAACATTTTAGTAAGAAACTGCGATTCATCGCCCTTATGACGGAGGCAGTATGATCTCAGAAACGTTGGTAAACATCGACCAGACTACACAGCGCAACAACCCAGAGGACAGAACTCTTCACAGCGTAGATAACTTAGAAAGAATCGCCCTGATGACGGAAGCAGTATGACCTCTGAAACGTTGGTAAACATCGACCAGAATACACAGCGCAACAACCCAGAAGACAGAAATCTTCATACTCACCGCTGTGAAAACCTCAAATCTTACATATTAAAACGGACCTTGTGTAAATATGAAAAAGGATTTGGACTATAAATGTCTGTCTCGGGATATGGCCGGATACCGGTCTATTAACACAACAATTTACCTTTTGGTTCCATATAAGATGGGTATTTCTTACACAGCTGGATTCATTTGCTTTATTAATACGTTAATTAGTGTAAAGAACACACAAATAAATGTACAAACTGCTGTGGTGTGGTGGTTGGATCCAAGCGGCGCTTTAATAAATTATTACTGGGTCACGGAAATAATAATACAAATCGATGCTTGTCTGCTGGCATGGCAACCTGTTGGAATCGACATGACGATCGATCCACTCGTTGGACACCTCTCAGCGCCACACAAATTAAAGGCATTCATATACGATTATAGTGAATGCGCTCTCGTCTTCTGGAGCAACAGGAAGTTAAGGAAGCACAAATTTGTCGTTGAGTGTGGATGTAAATGGAGACGAAATCTATTTGTTATGAAGTCTCCTTCAGTGGCGTGCAGGAAAGAAATCCCCTCGAAGGGAAGTTAACTCCAATATTAATTTAAGAAACTCCACATAAGCACTGGGACTTATTCACGTGCTTCGGCGTAACTCACAGAAAAACAAATATTTTACTCCACTGGGTTGCACCGACATTTACCGAATCGGAAGGTTGAAGGTACCTAAACACTGGAATTACAAATTTGAAACCAGGCCAATGCATGTGTGTTTGTCCGTTTTTACCTTCACTGTCCTGGGTCTCTGTGAAAACAGACTTGTTCCTCATCGAAGGAACTGGACCATCTGTTTGAACAGGATTAGACAACTTTTCTGTCACAGGGGACCAAAGAATCGTGCTGTTATGTCAAGAAAGAGGGGGCTTATAAATTTTGGCTTCTCATAAAAGAAATTAATTTTGCTTAAGAAGCAAGTATACTTGTAGGTACAGATGTTCATTAAATCATTCCAAGTTATTTAATATATGTGGATTTTACAAATGCGTTCTTTGCAGATTTGTTTACTTCGCTCACTTACTGCCGAGGCAAATCTTTTAACGGGACAGTTAAAACGTATCATGCCACTAAATGTCTAGTTCATTTACTTAAATCTTGTATAAGACAGCTTGCAATATTTACCTTATTTACCTTTGTCTTTTTCATTGCTACATCTTGTCGTTGTTCATAAAACGTAAATTTTAAATAAAACTTTCTTAATTTACAAAATAGTCGGTTCTTCCACAGTAGGAAGAAAATACAATAAATTCAAATAAATAGTTAAATTGCGCTGCAGGAATATACAATTTTAAAGCTGTTCAGTCTACACCTACACATTGTCCGAAGTTATTGTTTCTTGTAATTCATAAAACATTCAATATTTATGAAACTGTTACAAATAAAAATTGTTTATATTAACTAGTTTTATATTGCACGTTATACAAATGTTTTGATGATGAGTATTCTTTGTGGAAAATGATCAAGTTAATTCGAGTTTCATTTAGGCTATAAGTTGACCTATATGAACCAAGACTAAAATCACGCTGAACTCCAAGTACCAAATGTTCTTGAAATCTTATTATGGAATTTCTGAGCGAGATCGCATCCAGTCATAGTGTCAGTCTCTGGGCCGAGATTCCAACCCGGGACCTCAAGAATACAAATCAAGAGCGAGAACCACTCGACAGGACGTCCTCGGAACGTAATTTATATGCCCCACCCACGTGACGGACACACCTAACAACAGATCAAAGTCACGCAGTTTGTGTTGCACATCCCTAATTGTAGAATTTAATTAGGCATTGCGTGATCTGTCGCCGTGTCATTGCCCTGTGGTGTGCGTTCTTCCTGAAACTCGACCGACACGAGAGATGGAGGGAAGGGCGTATCGAGCACGAAGACCACTAGGAAAAGCATTTTATTCATATAAAAAAACCCACAAAGTTTCGTGCATTCGGTTTGTCACACTAGTCCTGTGTTTCAGTTTCGACAAACTTGGAACCTTCTACCGTATAAGGGTGTGGTCGGTCTCTTGGAACGAGAGCACAAATGTTCTCACTTCTACTTGAAGACATGGACCCAGTGCGATTATAGGCTAGTGAATAATTACAGTGATCATTGAAAAATATAAATATAGGCTTTCAAGCAAGATAGCATCCTGCTTAGTTAGCATAAAAAGCGGGCGAAATATTTTGTTTTTGAATTCGTAACATCAAGTAACAAAACCTGTACACGGGGGTAGCAACTGATTCATACGGCGCATGTGCTGTGGTCGAGGAGTACAGGCCTTCAGTTCTTGGACTCGCATATCGAGATCGACATGTGTTTCTCCTTTGCGGTGACAACAAATTAATTATACTTCTTCAGTAAATTAATCTGAAATAACATGTGCCTGTGAGTTGAGCTCTTCCAAGTCTGTCGTAGATCAACTCTATTTTTGAAGGTAAGATACCGCAGGAAACTTTCTGCTTTGGACTTTCTTCAGCTGTGTGAAAGAAAATTGCAATACGAAGAATTAACAAATTTGAATATGTAAGCATGATGTAACAATTCTGGCATTTTTTCTCTCTGTTATTGCTTCTAGATTTCTAATTCGTGAATGCTAACTCTGGCGATGTTTAATTACTTAAAGAGTGTAAAACTAGCGGAGCGGAGGGGCTAGGCCCCTCAGTATAAAATTTAATTAAAATCAGTCGCGCTTCTCGAGTTACGTGATGACACAGCATTAAAATCCCTGACATTTTATCTTCAGAACCTTACAAGAATGTGTACTGGACATAAAATTTCTTTCATTTTTCTATGCAACTTTTATTCTAAATATTTTTCGCTCCGATAATTATCAAATTACGCTCAAGATGTGTGCAGAATCGCATTCAAATTTTCATACAATTAAGTGGACGTTATTGGTGTCAAATATTAATCAAAACTGGAAAGTTACAGCGAAGTTTATTGAAACTCCACTATATAAAATTTCATAAAATTTCGTTTAGCAGAACTCGAGTTCTTCTAGTCGGAAAGACGGACTTACTGAATTTTATAGGCACATTTTTATAACTTCGTTGCGAACGCATCTAAAAGCAACTCATGAAAACAAACACAGTGCCGTGCTTCTGAAAAATTTATAATTGATCGTTAACTCTGAGAACATACGAAATTATTTTGACATAAAAATAATAGGGCTAGAAAAAAAGAAGAGAATCGACAAAACGGAATAACGAAGAGTTTCAGAATTTGTATTATTTACTAAATATTGGCAAGGTGATTAAAAATAAGGATTAAATGGAAAATATTAAACGTGAATGTAACGACACGCAATACCGAAATGTATATTAAATAGATAAATTGTTACTATATGAAGTGATTTTAATTGTCTCAGAGTAGGGTCCAATAGCGGGATTTTTTAAACATAGACTGGAATTTCTTGACCAAATGAACGCCCATCAGCTGCCCAGGGATCTTGTTTTATACAAAGCATTGTTAATAGTTCTGTTGCTTTTCCGTCATCGCCCAAAGTCGGAAAACTTTAATGACGACTGAAATTTACTGAACGCATTCAGAATTTATTTTCAGAGAATGGCAATAGTCCCCTAGGAGTTTACACCAACGCCTGTCAACCTAGACATCTTCCATTCACTAGACCGAAATTTAAAACAAACAAATGTTGGAAAACCAAACATTTTTACTTCTGGATGCATTTATCGTGTGAAGGTGAGACCAGTGTAGGATTTGTAGAATATACACAGCAAAGCTTAAAACTTCCAAGTTTTATCTTTACAGGGTGTTTCAATATATGTAGTATGAAAAAGAGTGTTTACTTCTGTCTTAAACAAGCAAACGCCGATCTGTGTACTTGAGTGGTTAGAGCTTCTGAGTCGTATTTGGAAGATGCGGGTTTCATTATTCAGTTGGCAGGTTGAGGAGTGAGCATTATTCTTTCTTACGCTGTCCAGACAAATGCACTGACAGTTCTCAACAACAGGGCACAACAGCGGGAGAAATTCCATTATTCCGTTCATCATTTACTTAGTGAAACATACGTTGTTTCAGAACCTCCAGATGAAGAAAGTAGAGCGTGATTTATTATGAGATGAGTGCGCGCTAGACAACGAAAACTTGGTTCCCAAATATGTACGTATGTCACTCCATCACGACCGACCCTGATGAAACGGGCAGAGACATAACCCTAAACTTCGGATTAAAATTCCGCATCGACTTGGCTGATCGCCCAAGAAGACTCTATTGCAATTGTACTCGTTAAAACTCCGGCCAGTTATTTGTTACGGCAGCGTTACTCTGTATTGTTACATCCTTAATCTGTTGCATTCCAGGAAGCCATGTCTGGAAATGCCAGTGCCCCGAACGGGGATGACACTGACCTTCAAGAGCAGGTTTCCCCTGTGACGCTTAGCGCCGATTGGAGCCGAGTGGCACGTCTGCTTCTGATCGCTAGCCTGGCCGTGATCGGCAGTGTCGGCAATATTTTTATGATCAGTTCAGTAATGATCGAGGACCATCTTAAGAAACGAGGTAGGAATTTAATTTTTTAGCCTGCCATAACTAGGTTACTTTAGTTTTAACAAACACCCGTGAAAACAGACAAACTGTAACTGGCAATTACAATGTTTTTTGTTTGTACATACTTGAATGCTGTCGTTGGAATGTAAGGGGTGAATACTGTAATAGACCTGACAGCATGGACTATACTGAGATTTAATAACAGGTGGGTGGGTCCAATCTTCACTTAAACTCGATCAGACGTTATAGAACGATATTTCGAGAACGACAACGAATGTACGACCGAGAGACAAAACGAGACATATGAAAATATATGATTTGTTTGATTCGTTGGATGAACTTTGTTGCCTAAATTTAGTTTTTATCGCAATACATTGACGTAAGGTTATTTCTGTTTCGCATTTATTCTCTTGAAAAAGTTCTTAAGCATAATTTTTGGGAACTATAGTCATTTATTATTTCTGGTGTTTGTACGTAAACGTATGTTTTATATGCGTACGCGCGCGCACACACACACAGATTTAAATCATTTCATTTCATTAACCATATCAACAGTTATAATAATTATTAATTTTTTCTACAAAATTATGTGCACTGTACAATAACTGTAAATCTTATATTTCAGGAAATGCATTCATTGTAAATGTGGCACTGGCAGATCTGCTCATCACAGGATTAGTGTTCCCAGCATCTACAGTAGTGCTGCTTGCTGGCTTGAAGGACACTCCTGGTGTATGCAACTTCCAGTGGTTCCTGGCTATCTTGTGCTGCCTCGTTACACTCATGACATTGGCTGCTACAGCTGCTGAAAATTATGCACGTCTCTGCCTGTCACAGGATTGCTATGCAATGCTCACTTCCACAAGAATCACAGTTGCTGTTCTCTCAATCTGGCTGCTCAGCGGGTTAACTGTCACCTTACAATTTGTGTACAATGTAGGACCTGGTTATTGCATCCGGCGTCGACTCACAGGAGATGTTTTACCTTACTATGTCATTGTGGGTGCCTTCTTTGTGTTCCTGCCTGCTTCCCTTACATTTGCTTGCTACCTTCGCATTACTCTCCGCATCCGAGTGGCCAAGTCACGGCCCAGCTTCAAACCGCCCATGTCATTTAGTTGGGACTATGCTCTCATGAAGACAAACCTCTACAGCTTTATGCTGTTTGTGGTATTTTGGCTCCCATTTGGCATTACATTAAGTGTAGGATCTGTGCATACCATTCCAAGCAGACTGTTCTACAACTTGGCATGGTTTGCACTCAGTAAGTCCTGTATCAACAATTTTTTGTACTGTCTAACTAACCGTCACTTCCGAAATGCATATGTTAATTTGTTCCATTACTGTTGTTGCAAGACAACAGTGTCCTTTTCAAGACGTCCCCGAGGAGCTTCAGAAGTTTCAGGGCCTGCAACGAGACCGACAGGAGATGTACGTGTGCACATCATCCCTGGTTATAACATGTACTCCTACACAAGTCCCCAGCGTGCACGTGAGGTGTGCAAAACAGCCACTCTCAAGCGTTCTGTAGGTTCCTGTCGGCCGAGTACTAGCCGTCCAAACGGCCGTGATGTGTATGAGTTGTGATGAGCCAGTTGGTGTACTATAAATCAGTATGAAGGATATGTCAGCTAGGTTTGGACATCCCCAGATACAATGCACTCAGATGTCTGCTGTATTTTATGGATATAAAAACAGCCGAAGCAGTTAGTTAATATCAGAAAACCAACCCAACATTATTTATAAATATTTATTAAAATGTGATTAACACAATACAGCATTGATCTAAACTAGGTTATTCAGAACCTAACAATTAGAAACAATTAGGCCTTTGTCTATATTCTCTGAGCTTTACAAACAGAAGATGAGTCCTCACTATATGAACTCTAACTACATTTTCATAATGTATTCTTATACCAGGACCTAAATATAATAGATATTTTAATAATTTCTTTCTGTAAACACACATTTTATTACTTAACTTTTCATAAAACAGATGTAGATCAAAGAAACATTATTTTATTGGATGTGCTTATGACTGTGTCCAAGATAACAGATATTACTATACCATTTTTGAAAAGTGATAATCATTATAGACATGTAATATAGACATAGCTTTCCCAATAGGGAAGTTCTGACATATGCTAGTCTCTGTATAGGTAAACGTAAGAGAACCCTGGGTCTTTTCTGAGTTGAGAGTAGCTTAGACACTGTGGTATTTATAAAGAAGTAAAGTTTAATAAAACAGATCAGTTATCACCCAACATTCAGAAATGTTTTCTATACTGGAAACAGTTTAAACATGACATTTTATACTCTCTATTCATAAATGTATAGCCTTCTGCATCAGAATTATCCAAATATCAATTATGGAGCTTTAGGTTATGACAGCAGATAAGTACCATAAGTCCATGGTTAAAAACTAAAATTGCACATTCTGTAGTACATGATTGGTTACATACTTAGTCATGCTAACAGCTCTTATCTCCATAATAAGGTCCTTCAGTCAGCAGTATTTTAAATAAACAAGGCAACATTTTGTAACTGCTTTGACATGATCAAACTCTCAATTTTTTGCAATAGCAACATAAACAAAAGTGCTAAATATTCTCAAAATGATTACCACAAATAATTAAAACAGTGGCATTTATTTTTTAAAACCCTCTTGGGCAATCAGCTGTTTCAATATTAAGTTAAAAACCAATGATTCTTACATTAGCTCTGTCTCCATCTGACTGTGAAGGACACAGAGCTAATACCTGAAACTTTAGGTTTTGACTCAACATTGATGCGGCTGATTGAGAGGATTTTATATCACTGATGGGCTGTGAATGTTTTAAATCATACACAGTGGCAATTATCATTAGGAATCATATGATTATGCATTCTCCTCAATTAAGATACATCAACTAAAACTCATCTCAAGATAATATCCATGGTCACTAAAAATCAATTTGAGTGCATACTTATAAAACAGTTCTTTACAAATAAGACACAAAAGCAGTAATGCATCTGAACATTCTAACCAATAATCTGTCCATTACTAATAACTAATACAAAAGTACAACAAATCTTCCATTTTATGTAATTCAGGGATTCTAAATTTGTCAACTCTATTATAAAATAATTCTTCATATGGAGGCTTTGGTGGTTATAAATGCAATAAAATGTATCCTGCCAGGATAGAAAGTAGTTAATGAGGAAGTCGTTGTTATAGACAGTTCATAAAGTTTACACTTTATATTCAATGACAATATACAGAACCCAGTAATATCAAAATAACACACTTAATGAACACCACAAAACACAAATTTAGCAGAACATGTGCTGTAAAAGAATAAGAACAAGAATGAAATGACCAGCACAAATTGTTAAAGGAAACAAGGATCCATCCAGATAAATTACAGCACAATACATTCAGTTTTATCAGTTTAGTTGCAAAGGGCTGAAAACTGCAGAAATAGAGGAGTTTATAAAAAATATTTTCATACAGATATTTATAGGTTGTATGTATATTGCATTAGTCACAGTAAACATTTGTAGTTATTTCTCAGAACACTTTATACAGTTGAGCTCGATACAGAGAGTAAATGTCCTGGAAAATTTATAGGACACGGTGACTGAGTAAGATGGTTACTACATTTCACAATACTATGCTTATTCAATCTCATGGAAACTGACCCTAATGAGTGATAAACAGAGAAATTTGCAGACATTGTAGTAGGTTACATGGGAGATTTAGTGAAAGTAAGCTCCAAAAACTCTACCCAGAAAAAAGAAAACTGACTGTTGAGCCTGTCTGTATAACTTCAATACTAATCAGCCAACATAATGTCTTACATTTTCTAACCATCCCCCAGAACTTGTAGTGAACTGTGATTCCCTGTAGGCTGTGATCCTTGCAGTGGTAAAATATAGCTCTTTAATCTCCCTCCAAACATAACTTTCTGCAGAAAGTTAAAGCTGCCTATGTATATTAAAGTTTTTAAAGTAAATGTTTTGATATTTTCATCCAGCAGTTGCAGGTACATAATTCTTTTCTTTCAAATAGAAGTACATAGTGATAAATAATCATAGTTTATCAGTAATTTGGAATAAGTTTTGTGTTTCAATCTGAGATTCACTATCACCTTCATTAATAATCTTTCATTAAACAATATGTGTAAAAACTTGATAAAACACATAACAAATACGATGGTGTGACAAAAAATACACTGTATGTGCTATTGTCCTTCTGTATTCCATCTCAAAAGAGGGCTTGACACAAATGCAGGTATGTATCAGTAAAGGACTAAGAAAGACTGAAGATTAAAAGGGAAATGACTTGGTAAGGTAAAATGTTTACATTATAAATTGTGCAAACCTTATACAGGCAAGGTTTATGCCAGTACTAGTACTAATAAAAGACAAAACATGCCTAAAATAAATTAGGCTTATTGTTAAATTAAAATATTGGTTTATTCAAAAGTATAACATTGTACGAGAAGGGATTTATTAGTTGGCTATTTTGTACAAGTGTGTCAACTGCAGAGGTTACTCAACAATGAATGAAATGAAAGAATAATTATGTATGGTAAACTGGAAAGAATCTGATAAGAAGGTATTACCTAGGAGGAACTGGGGCAAAAAACAAGCAGCTCATCTAATGTGAAACAATGCAGAATGAAATGCAGGAACAGACAGAGTGAACGGCATTGCCATCATTAAGGAGGCATGACATACCTAGCTGACATGGTAACAGTTAAAATAAGGTTCTTTAATTTTGTACTGATAATGTGTTGCTTAGCTGTTCTTCCACAGAAGGATCATGGTCAATGGTTGTAATTTATTACTATACAAGCATCCAGTTACAAGAAAAGTGATGTCAGTTATGGACAAAAGCCCAAAGTCTCCAAAACATTGGGCTTTTGTCCACAACTGACATGACTTGTTGCCCGCGAAGATTTCATCATAATAAAACTGTCAACAGCAGAAGGATGAACATAAATTAGGGACTGAACATGGTATTAAAAAGAGAATATTCATAGAAATACTGAGTTATCACTGACCTACATTAAATCATTCAAGAAGAGAAAATCATTAAGATATGGAAGCTGATGCCCTTGCTGACGATATAAATGTCATGTATAGCGCTCTTGACATAAACGAGAGCTTAAATATTAAAACATATTTTGTGATGAATGTGGAATTATGTTAAAATTTAATAACTGTAGACTTGTACTATGATTAATATTTTTATATGACTACACATATACTTGACCTAATTTTATACTTTGGGTAATTTTGTCCAGAAATTAAATCTGTTGTTGGTGACACTGTAGTATTTTAACACGGGTTGTTTAAGAACCACCAGTTCACAACGCATGATAGAAGTGCTATAGATTTGGTACTACAGTAGTTGACATCATACAGTGTGTACCATAGCGTGAGTGAGTCAAATATCATACATATGACACTGCTGAATTGTGATACACTCTTACCATTGATCCTATTGCTTTCAGAATTCTCAGAACATAAGGTTCATTTTTCCCATACAAAACAATAGTGTTATATATGAAAAAATCTCTACTGCAGGATTTTGTGACCAGATTGTGGTATGTTTCTCTCAGGTTATTTTATCATGTCTTGCAGGCTTTGTTACAAAAAGTACTGCACACTACTGAACATTTCAAAGAAATCAAATCATTGAGCAGAGATATCAAATTAATGAAGTTTTCCTGTGGTACTAGGAGAGTGATAAGCAACCATATTATCAGGAAAAAAGTTACCATGCAACTCTTTCTTTCATTACTTATGTATCTACAAAATAATTCTTGAAAGTGCTTCATCTGATTACATAATATTATCAGAGCAATCAAATCAAGGTGTATAAGATAAGCAAGGCATGTAACAAACATGGGGAAGTGAGAAATGCATACAAACTGTCAGACAACCTAAAGGGATGACTTGGAAGACTTTAGCATAGAAGGGAGGGAAACATTAAAAGGAATATTATAGAAACAGGATGCTAGGATGTAGACTGCATTCAACTGACTCAGGATAGGGTTAAATGGTAAGCTCTTGCGAACATGGTAATAAGCCCGCGAAGATTTCATCATAATAAAACTGTCAACAGCAGAAGGATGAACATAAATTAGGGACTGAACATGGTATTAAAAAGAGAATATTCATAGAAATACTGAGTTATCACTGACCTACATTAAATCATTCAAGAAGAGAAAATCATTAAGATATGGAAGCTGATGCCCTTGCTGACGATATAAATGTCATGTATAGCGCTCTTGACATAAACGAGAGCTTAAATATTAAAACATATTTTGTGATGAATGTGGAATTATGTTAAAATTTAATAACTGTAGACTTGTACTATGATTAATATTTTTATATGACTACACATATACTTGACCTAATTTTATACTTTGGGTAATTTTGTCCAGAAATTAAATCTGTTGTTGGTGACACTGTAGTATTTTAACACGGGTTGTTTAAGAACCACCAGTTCACAACGCATGATAGAAGTGCTATAGATTTGGTACTACAGTAGTTGACATCATACAGTGTGTACCATAGCGTGAGTGAGTCAAATATCATACATATGACACTGCTGAATTGTGATACACTCTTACCATTGATCCTATTGCTTTCAGAATTCTCAGAACATAAGGTTCATTTTTCCCATACAAAACAATAGTGTTATATATGAAAAAATCTCTACTGCAGGATTTTGTGACCAGATTGTGGTATGTTTCTCTCAGGTTATTTTATCATGTCTTGCAGGCTTTGTTACAAAAAGTACTGCACACTACTGAACATTTCAAAGAAATCAAATCATTGAGCAGAGATATCAAATTAATGAAGTTTTCCTGTGGTACTAGGAGAGTGATAAGCAACCATATTATCAGGAAAAAAGTTACCATGCAACTCTTTCTTTCATTACTTATGTATCTACAAAATAATTCTTGAAAGTGCTTCATCTGATTACATAATATTATCAGAGCAATCAAATCAAGGTGTATAAGATAAGCAAGGCATGTAACAAACATGGGGAAGTGAGAAATGCATACAAACTGTCAGACAACCTAAAGGGATGACTTGGAAGACTTTAGCATAGAAGGGAGGGAAACATTAAAAGGAATATTATAGAAACAGGATGCTAGGATGTAGACTGCATTCAACTGACTCAGGATAGGGTTAAATGGTAAGCTCTTGCGAACATGGTAATAAATCATTGGATCCATAAAAGAAGAGGAACTTCTTGATCAGATGGGAAGGTATCAGCCTCTCAAGGAGGACTGCTCCATAGGGTTCATTTTGTTACCTGAAGTTGACTAGTATTACACTGCTTTGAGAAACATTTCAATACAGTTTGGGTAGCCCTGTGCTGCTGTAGATTGCTCCTCGCAGATAAAGCAGCTCTTTCATTGGAACTTCTTCAAAACAAGGCTATCATCAGGAGAAATGATATGTATGTATATCAGAATGTACAGTCCCTCCCTCTTGGATGTGCAGCTCTCACTCTAACATTGTTTGTATGCCTTCTTTCCAGCTGTGATCTCTACCACCATGAACAGAGAATTTTTCTTAAACTGTTTTCTGATAAGGGACCACAAGTTTCATGGATGGCATTTATTTTGCTGGAAAATATGTGAGCTATTTTATGTGCAACAATAAATATTTGTAAACTATTCTTACTGTAAAGTGTAATTTCATAATTCACTAAGATGTATTTCTTATAACTTTGTATGTGAATTTTATGTATACAAATGGTAACATAACTTAAACTGCAATATTCATTGGTCAGTGAAAAATGTATTTAAGCTGATATGTCTTCACATGTGGGTTCATATTTTGATTAGTGTGCACAGTCTTTACAGTAAATCATTGGTAAAGCAAGAATGAGAACTGAGGTTACATGATACAGTTTTTCTTGTGTATAACAGATGAAAGGTGCTAGCTGCAACATGCTCCTTCCATGTAATTAATTGAACCAATTAACCATTTACCACCATTTTGATACACACTACACATCCAAGTGTTCAAGTGATCTGTATCAAAATGGTTTGGTATATATAAATATTGTCAGAGATGTTTAGTTTTATGTTTAATTTATTTAACTTTTATCATTGTTATTCATGTATCTAATAGACATTTAAAATATTGCCTTCAATTACGTTATAACCTAAGAAAATGTTAAGTTCAACAGCCACAGCAACTTTGAATTCACTACTACATATGAAATGTTCTCAGAAGTTACATAATTAGAAACAGGATTTAATTTTTGCAAAATAGAAGATTGGAGAATATTGTTGATGTGCAGGGAAATGATCTTTATTTGGTTTATTCATTTTTTATGGATGGGTTTAAGTACCTGACTAATCCATAACAAAACAGTAACCTCAGCCTAAAAAGAAATGGACCCATTTCAATAAAATATCATATTGTGAATTAACAGTAAATTATGAAGTAAACATTATATTTAAATGTAAGAAAATTGTGGTTGGTGAATAATATGAGGTCAGAAAGGACTCATGTGCATATATAATACAGCTTTTCCACTAACAGAGGTAAGAGTCTCCAGTGTTTCAGTCCTCACAATATATATACTTATTGAATGATTGAAGTGAAAGGAGATACCATCCAATTTTCCTCTTTTTGAGGGCTTCATTCCTTAAGGTTCTATTTTCTTTTGTTTTATAATTAACATGTTTATGCCTGGTTTAAGATTACATAGTACCACATTTCCTTTTTTCTTCCCTTTTTCCTACTTGATGCTTTGTTTTCATTTTCTTTAAATAAAACTTTAAATCTACAAAACATTAAAAGAAGATAGTAGCTGGCACAAACTTTGGCTTTTATTTATCTGCACTGTCTTAAATAACCTTCAGTCATATAATAACTTTTTAAGAATTGCTGGTAGCATTCTTTAAACATATTTATGATCAGTGGTAAGTCCAAGTGACTTACAAGTCACAATTATTATCTCAAGAGAAGAAATATTCATCACTGTATCAAAGAGCCTTATATATTTTAGACATCAGTTTTCTATGAGAATCTGGTCGTATCAAAATGTTTTATAATTGAAATACTGTACATTGTGCTACAGTTGACAGTTAATTTTAAGATATATTTACTTAACAGAATACTAACTATATTTGTACTGTAACTATCACCTGTTGAAGAGATTTTTTATTCAACTTATTTCACAAACTATAACTATATATACCATAAATATTTATAAATTCAATTATTTTATTCACCATCCAATTGGAGGTGCAAGCGGTATTCTAAATGGTCATATATAACACATATGCATTTTGTTGTATATGACATATGTTAACTGCTAATGTAAATACATTACAAAGACTTGCACATCGAGACACAAACTACAAGCAGTAATTTTATAGTAAGGATTCACATTGCTGTTGGAACAAGAAGAAACTAATGAGCATGACACTCATTTTGTTTCCTGTTTGTGGATTTCAGTGTTTAAGAAGAAGCAATGTACGATGCAACCATAAAAGGGAATTTAGTTGTATCATTTCTATTAGTATGGCATTTGAGCAATGACAAAAATGTTGTTTTAACAGTTGGTAGTAATTATACGTTATTTGTGACATAAAAGTCCAGGAAAAAATAATTCTTAAATGGGTGAGTGATCTCCAAAGTATTACACAAATGGGTATTTTTAGCTGTTTCACATAGAGTGAAAAGTAGGGAAACCAGTCTGGTCTCCATACTTTGAGGGGTAAAGAAACAATATGATATACAGGGACAGCAAACAGAACTGTATTGCTGATGCCCCTTGTCAGCATTGCAGAATGTGGTATCTGGAAGTGACTTGAATGCTAGCGAAAGAGTGATGTTGGAGCTGGATGAACCTGTTTTTATACTTAATAGACACTAGACCTTTTAATGTTTGCACCACCAACCTGTTTTAAGATATTTATTATCATACTTATATTCATTTAATGGTGCGGCTGTAGCCCCTATCTTGATATTCTGCATGACTGACATGTTGGAATTGCTGAGACGGAGATTTAAAACTATAAAATCAGCACCTTTCAAAATAATTATGGAGATGTAAGCACACATGCATGAACACATATAAACACAAAACCAGCAAACAGAGCACTATAATGATACATTTCCAATATAATGTCCCATATGCTATCTAACTATAAACCAGGCTGAAAATTTTCCTAGCTTGATTGTTTTGTTTATCTTATATATAGATCAATATAATGTGTCCAAAAAATTACATTATAATAAAAGGTGAATCCAGGATGAACAAAACTGATCTAGTAAAAGCTGGCTTCAGCCTCTTAGGTAAAATAAGTTTCAACTACCATAATTTATAAGCACTTTCATCATCCCCTAGCATATGAAATTTCATGTTACCACTTTATCATAAAATTAATACTTTATGCAGCCATCATATGTTTATACCTTATATTTGATAGAAAGAATTATAATAAAAAGTGCTTATTTTCCAATATCTATTATATTACAATCTTACAAAATTCTCCACTAAATTTCATTAATACTGCTCCAATGTGGAAATAAGGTACAAATGCCATGTTGGAATTTTAAGGATGGCACCATGGTGACCTTTAGTGTCTTCATCTTTGCACCAAATTACATGCAAGTCACAATTTGTTTAATCTGCTCCTTTCAGAATCTAGTTTAAAGGGCTGTATTTTAGTAACTAGAGAAGTATAATTAGACTTTATCATGCTGTGTGACATTAAGTGCAGCAAACATCCAGTATATATCATGGCATATATTGAAGACATCGACTAAAGGCTGATGATGTCAAACAAAGAACTGGTTTGGAGGAAAACACTTGTGCCTGTTTCAGAATGTTTGTCTTTATTGTGAATATTGACATGTTAATTGTATCTTAAACACAATGTCTTCATATAAGGTATTACAGATTTCAAGTAGAGACACTTTTAGGGTGGAGGTGAAAGCTTAGTTACAAGATAATGTTCCATGTTACATTATGTTTCTTCCTTACTGTTTATGATTAGGCATGGCTCAAACTTTACAGCTGTCATCATAACAGTGTGGTAAATTTGTGTTCTCTTTGTCCTGTTCAATTTATGTTGGTGTTTCATCTATAATTATAATGAGTAATACTGCTGACAGTTTCTGATGATAAACTAAAAAAAGGGTAGATAAATGGAAATATGTTTTTTTTCTGCCTAAATGCTGAAGGTTTCATAATATGATTACTGTCTCACAAAACAGTGAATGAGAACAAATTAAAAAAATTAGTCACTTTTTAGAAAGTAACTTCTGCTTATAATCTGATGTTGGTTTCTTTTGCAGTCTAGTTTAATTCTGTAACAGCATTTTAGTGCAGAACTAATATAATTAATCAGCATTAATAGGAATTTATGCTTTTTAGCTTCTGTTGTATTCTTTAATTTAGATTTACATATGAACAACTTGCAGCCAAACTGAGAGAGCTTGAATCCAATCACTGACACTAGCATACAGAACACTGGCCTCAGATAACATTCAGCTATCATCCCAAGTGACTGACTTATTTCATGTGGTTAAGTTGGTGTTATTGAAAAATTACTAATAATATTTCAAGTGTTTATCAGGCTTGCAGAAAGCTGCAATGTCCAACTGGAAATGCACATCTTCTAATTGGTAACCAACTGTGGTTCTGCTCCATAGGAACACATTTTATAAAGTGTACTAAAGCATTACTTTTAAGGACACTGTACTACCAATGTGAATACTTACTTAGAAGGCCATATGTATAATACTCCAATATCTGTGTAAGAACAATGTGCTGTTTACATAAAACAGTTCTTAAACATTATCCTACACATCTTCAACGTTGTTGTCTTACTGTAATTAATGTATTATATGTAGATTTTGTAACATTGTAATAAAAATAATGGAGAAAAATAATACATTTAAATTAATGAGAATGATATTATAGCATGTTTCCCAATTTTAATACTTTTTATTTGTATTATTTGTCAGATGCAATAAACAGGAAACAAGATTCATACATGACACTTCAATAAAACCACTTTTCTGTTCCTACTTTAGAATCATTTGATTGGGCATACCTACAACAAGGCCTCCAAATTACACAATCCTCAGGTAACTTTCGATCCATACATAAGAAAGCATATACATTAACACAAGATCAATTATATCGCTATTGTTAAATGTTAAAATTTAAAAGAATTGTTTGATATTCAACTAAACATGAATAGCTTGAATGTTTGAGGACAAAGCAACCAACCAAAATTGGAGAAACAAAAGTTTTATTATGCATCTGTGTGTATTCTGAAAATTGTGTATGACCCCTTACGAATATTGATAATGATATATAATATAAATCTAAAATATTTAGCACATAAATGGCCAAAATACAGCCTTTGAAACAAAGTAAGTGATAAAAATTAAATACAGCCTCCACGGTTATAAGAAATTTCAGCAGGTATAAAAGAGCCCCATAAAAATCTATGAATTTGGCATCTCTGAGATTGCCAATATAAATGACTAAACTGGAAAGAATTTTAAGAAAGATGATAAAAATATCTTGCAGCCTACAAGAAATATTTTCTTACAATGTGAAAACATGGTTGCTTCACACAGTTCTGGACAGTGGGTTCAGCCCTGCTTGTAATACTGAAACAAGAATAATATGATGATCTGTAGTGAACATGTCAGTGTAGTAGAAAATGATCTGGACTTTCTCAGTAAGTTTATCACAGATGATGGAACCTAGTGTTTTCTATTAAGATCCCAAAACTAAAGACAGTTCTCCAAGTAGGTATCATCATTGTCACAAGCATGAAGATGTGATAGTTTGCGCAGAAGCGAAGGTGATGTTGGAAAGTCTTTTTGATGGCTGGGAATTATGCTTTAGTTTGTTCCTGAGTGTGATACAGCACGCAAGCAGAAGTACACAGATGGGCTCTGACTTCATCTGTGGGAGGCAACTCAAGACTAGGTGCTCCTTCATTAAAATTCTCCAGCACACTGACTGCTGCCTATGCAGCAACAGCTCTCACTGCATGAAACTGGTGTTTTCCTCATCTACCAAAATCTCCTAATCGCCAATCCCAAAATTTGTAACTCTTCCTGCAGACAAAGAACCAGCTTAAGGTCTGTCAATTCATGGTTGCAATGGAGCTTGATGTATGTAGGACTTCAGGTTTTCATTGCACTAATGATGATTATGTTCTTTTGGGTTTTAGCATTATGTAATTTCATGGGTTGATGCCAATGTTTTGTTTATAAAGAGGGCATCACCACTTCAGACCTGAAGATGGAGACAATATTTAATATTTTCTAAAACAATGTCATCTACCTATGAGTCTACATGACACCAAACATCATCAAACTTCAATTAGCTTTGAAGACTGTGCTGCAGGTTGAGCATGGTGGTTTCCAGAAATATGTTGTGAGTATATACACAGATGGGTTCAAAGAAGCCATTCCAAGATCTATTTCGCATTTGCACAGACATGTATGTAAATGAAATGGGCACCCAATTGAATCTTGACCAAAATCATTTCTGATCTTTTGTGCATCTTCGTTCACTTAATTCACTAGCAGCCACATACCTCCCGTGAAGTACAGTATCCTACACAACAGGATCTTATAATTTCCTTTTCAGCAAGACCTCCCTACAGATCCCAGGTCATAGAGTCACTGGGTCTTTGAGAAGAATTAACTTCTTAAACTAAGCAGACAATGGTATTTCAGGCCCCCTGATCAGGTCCTCACTAGATTCGGGTAGTGCTTTATATCCATAATCTACGTATATGTAAAGCAAGTTTTGTATTTATATTTAAAATTCTAAGGTTTATGTATATTAATTTGTAAAATTATTTTTCATACTTGTATAGTAGAATCTGAAATTTATGTACATTGATATGTGAAATACGTTCTTGTACTTGTGTTGAAAGTTCTGAAGTGTATGTATATTGAAGATTTCCGTCTTCTGGGTTGTTGCGCTGTGTAGTCTGGTTGATGTTAACCAACGTTTCACAACCCAGAAGACGGAAATCTTCATACTCACCGCTGTGAAAACCTCAAGTCTTGTATGTATATTGTATGAAATGACATGTTCTACATCCTTTGGTTGAGTCCTAAGAAGGATCTATGGAATGTAAATAAACTCTACTCAACTCTACTCCAGGTATCCACGTTGCCATACGTCCCTGGTATTACATTCGCTCTTCCTTGTTTTAAGCTTCCTTCAGCCACTTCCCGACACTTGGTCTTTTTCATTAAATACTGAATCATTGGTATGTATATCAGATCAGTGTGATTATTCACCAGCTTTCTTCTTTTCTCATCAGCAGAAACAAAGAACCTCATCACCGCACATGGAATGTATAATTTTAGATTGTTAGGTTTGGTTATGTTATGGTAGTTAATTTAAAGCTATAATGCAACAGTTGGTAATACAACAACTGTGGGTTGAGTGTATTTCTGATGAAGTTGATTTTAGAAGGCTGTGGGAGAGGTAAAGAGGGTAAGTTACACCCGATTTTTTAATTATCTCGTACCTTACTGCTCAAGACAGTCTGTTGTACTTGGGATGACAGGCATAGGTGTAGTCTCGTTTCACCTGGGCTTTTTTTTACCAAGTTGTTTGATCTTCCTTCCCCCAGGCCCCAACGATAAATGTGAAGATAATAACTTGAATATGATTTGCAAATCGGTTTAACTCAATCTGTATGTCCCAGGTTTCAAACTTCAGGCTTTCATTAATAAATCCGTAACACTGAAGCATTAAATCGTCTTGTTCTCACGAAACAAACTGGTTTTAATACTGCATTAGCTCGTAATTCAGACTACTACATCCCATTTTTAAAAAACGGGGTGTTGGACAAACTGCTCGAAAATAATTTTGTCAGAAATCCACAGGATTCATTTACTGAACTTCTCTCGTAAGGCACTATTAAGATTATCGATTTACACTAGGAGCATTGTGCACTTTAAACTTATGTAATAAAATAAATTGAAACTGAACAAATTAAAGATCGGCGACATGTGTTTTAGCGTAAAGGTTTAAAAATCTGTATTACACCAGAGTACAGGAAATATGCCTTTATTTTGTCTGTTGTATGAATGGTTTATACATTTTAGTAATTTTCCAAGATATTTATAGTAGAAGTTTCAGGTACAATAAATGTGTATCTATAGAAGGCCGTGTAACCTTCTCCTATAATTTAAACAATTATTTTAAAAGAAACTACACTTATTACGCACATTTATGAAACACGTGTCAAGAAGATACTGTACACCTTCACCAAAAGCATGTTTCGAGGTTTATTACCCTAATGTTTTTCTGCTGTAAACATACAAAATCCAGAACATCCATATTGAACTTGGTGACCCTGGCGGCATCTATGGAAACCGCACCAACTGAACCAACGATTTTAGCCAATGGAATTACGAGCTCCAGGCCCATCATCGGGAGCTCACGTCCCCGAATGTGACATGGCGTCTGAGAAGGAAGTTTACTGTTAAATAGACGTTCATGTTGTTTTTATGACATTAAATCAACAAGAAGGCTGCTATAGGAGCCACACATCTTTTATAGACACTTGCATTGATGGTAATGCATGCAAGGAAACCTCAGAGGATTAGCGATGGGTACGCACTAAGCTCTAAAAATTGAAATCCGTAATCGTCTGACACAACCTCTTCGCCATATTCCGTAATTTGGATATGGAGGTCGACAATTTAAATGCCAATTTTTGTACTGGAAAGTGTTTATTCTTAATAATATTGTATTTTGTATCATTCTAGGTACTTCGAAAAACACCAAGCCCATCCGTATCAGGTAAACAACGCACGGAATTAACTGCTACAGGAATTAAAAAGGGGACTGTTGAAACAAATGACTGTCACAGAAAAGGCAAAGGCCTTTATTTTGGAGGAACATTGATTATTTTTATTTGTTGAACATACTGAAACATTCTATATTTGAATATTGATCGGATAATGCGAAACAGCATGTACTGACAGCAATTAATCGTACAATGCTTCATTTTGTGTAGTTGTAAATGTTATTAGTATACAATTTCTAGGCAAGCAGAATATTGTGTGTTTATCTTTAAATGTTTCTTTTAAAGCAGTCAGGAGGCAGTCATATAATGAAGCATGGTAATGTCAGAAACTATTCTTCAAAACATACTTCCTACTGTTCATGATTAACATAATAGGTCCAAAATTGTGCATAATGGAATTTTAAAATTTCATTTGTTTCTAACCAAATACTATTTCAGAATTCAAAATATAGCAGTTCAAAAGGAAACTATGATGGACGTTATAACCATGAAAGAATGCGAGACTCGCCCAATGGAAATTCCTATCGATCGGACAGTCCAGATTCACAGAGCCCACGGGAACGAAACTATCAAACTAAGAGTTCATATTTGCAGAAAATTCGTGAGAAGGAGAGAGAAAACAGAGACTATAAATCCAGAGAAAAATATTCTGGTAAGGATTGTGTGCTAATTAATCATAGTTTCAGATTTCATGCCTTAGTGCTGTATTTAAATTGATTTGTTCAAACTGTAGGTTTTTGAGGTTTCTAATTGTGACAGCTGTTTACTGAAGGGAAACAGTTTGTAGAATATGCTGAATGATCTTGGTGTCTGCTATTTTTGTGTCTTTTTTAGAGTTTGAATTGTATAGCCCCAATGTAGCTAGCGGGCATTGTATAATGAGAAACATACATGCATGTTCTTAAACTTTGAATTGTATAAAAGTATCACTTTTGTGCTCATTGGAAGAAGTACACTGCCCTTCATATCCACTACATCATGATAACTATGACCTTCAATTTTGTGTGCCATAAACATAAAATTATATGCATGTCACATCTGTGATCATAACTGCCAAATAATGGTATAATATACAAGCACAATTATGAATAAAGATGAATTATAAAAGAAATCTGACAAAAGTAGTTTCTATATGTGTGAAAAAGCAGGTTGTATCACTTGTATAGTGTTGTGTTTACATAAGAATTGCCACAGAAAGAGGGATGGGTGGACAGATGGATTACCATTTTGTAAATTTGTCACTGGATTTCCATTTCTGCAGCCATTCATAATCATTGTATCACAGAGCCAACTCAACACTTATAGGTATTAATTAATAGTTTGCTGTTTTGGAGTATACTCATTGTTCATAACAGCCTTTTGATTAAAGATGACAGCTTTGCTGTGCACTTGGCATGATTGTTTGGCCACGGTAGTGATAGAACTTAGTTTTGGATCATAGCTATAGCTCCCTATTTTGACAGTTCTCAGTAGGTTTCATTGAGTTTTGTACATCCAGGCAAATCAGCAGAATCATCATACTTATTGTTCAGACTTCATATACATTATCAGGTTCCAATATACATTTTCATATACATATGGGAATTGCCAATTCTAGACCTTTGTTTTAGTCTGCAGTTATAGTAAATTGTAGGACATTAATGATATTTACAATTTACTTTCACCCACATTAATTACATGAAAGTTCATTCTCTTTATGTTTTTGTAAATGCATGGAAATATGTCAGATTGTTATTTTATTTATTTAGTGTTCTGTCTGACGACAGGTCCATATGAACAGGATCCTTCCATCCTTTTCTCGGACTGGGACCTGTTCATATACGTTCTTGGCAGATGATCCAGAAGTGGTTTGCCATTGCCTTCTTCTGAAATTAGATTTCCATGTTATCTAGTAGCTAATATTCTAATAGAGATGTCTTTCAACCCCCATTTACTTTTTTGGAAGTTAAAGTTTTTCCTGTGAAGGCATTGATGTACTTGGCTGCAAGTTTAAAGATCCATTCCACAAATGTTCTTCAATTATATTCATGAAAAAAGTTTGATTCTAGTTTATTTCAATGTACTTTTTCTTGTTCTTACCAGATACCTGGTTATTTCAAATTGGTTCTCATAGCAAATTAATATTACAATATTTGCCACTGATTTCTTCTATTTGGTCTTAATATAATTGTTGCAAAATTTAAATAATGTACAATTGGAACTGTGTAAAACCAGATCTTTTGTTGTATGTAGAGTTATAGAGTTATAGCTGTTGGTTTTATATCTTGTTTCAACAGACTGTGCAAGATCACCAAAAGATAAGCGGAGTCGGGAGAGTCGAGATTCAGAACATAGGACAAATCATGACAGGAGTAGTACAGAAGTAAGTGTCTTGCTTTTCTTGTTTCTTTGCAGGTGTTCTGTATAACTTATTGTGGTACCTACTATATTTTTGTCACAGCCTTCAATGTTTTCATTCTTAAAAGTTAGCAGTTATAGGACTGGAATTGTGTAATTTTGTCAAAGTAACTAACTCTCTGGAGGGGTTTACATCTTGAGAAGCTCTTCCAAGTGGTCTCTTCCCTATGGGTTTTCCAAATTTTGTATGCATTGCAAATCTTTCCCATGAGTGCTATATGCCATGCACTTCTAATTCTCCTTGATTTGTTTATCCTAATAATATTTGGAGAAGAGAACAAATTATGGAGCTCTTCATTATGCCATTTTCTTTAGCCTCCTGTCACTTCATCCCTCTTTGGCTAAAATATTCTGCTCAGCATTCTGTTCTCAAACATCCTGAAGCTCTGTTTAGCTCTTAATCATTTGAGTGCTACACACTTATGCAACTGCATCCATTCCCATGCTACCAGTGCTACACACTACTATACAAGCATATGACATGCAAGCTTCATCACATTAATATTGAGCTCGGACAGATCAGACTACTGAAGTAATATAGTGTGACATCTGTGGAAGAGTTAAAGAATCTTTTAGTTGGAAGGATAAACATTTTGTAATTAAAAAATAGGCTTGTTGGTTAGGAATTGTAAACATAACATATATTAATAATGACAGTGATACTGTATGCAAGAATGTAGTCGTAGAGAAAAAGATGTCTACAAGCATTCTCAGTCAGGACCTTGTGAATAAAATACAAACCCGGACTGTTACTTTCAGATCAGGAGTTCAGTTGAAGCTTGAGTTTATTTTAAAAAAAATTATACCTTTTAATAAACAGGTCGATAGTGTGTGTAGGATATACTAACATCAAAGAAAGATGCAGTGATATAGATTGAAAGAATCTGTTTGCAAGTATAAGGGAAAAGAGGTTTTATTGTGATATGAAATTTGAGTGGGTTAGTTAAGCATACACATTTTGCTGTAAATGAAAAGAGAGAAGTGGGTTACATGGTTTAAAGCTGGTGCTTGGAAACAGAGGGATAGGGAAGGATTTGAGAGATGTTCTCTATGTATGAGGGAAGATAAATGTATATGTATTATTAAACTATTTGGAGACAAATTAGAGAGAGCTCTTTTTAAGCAGAAAATGGTTTATTGCTGTGAAAAAGATAGCTTACAAGAAAATTTTGCCAGTGCTGTAGAATTAAGATATGTAGAAAAATAATTATATGAAGTAGGTTTAAATTGAAAAATAAAATTAGTATGACAAAAGTGGGAATGGGAGCGTAGGTTTCTAGTTATAAGTATAAAGATTGTACTGAATGTCTTGGTTGAGTGCTTAGCACCCCTATTTGATATTTGGGATGTTCTGGGTTCAAATCTTGTCCTGGGGACCAGCTATCTTAACTGAGATTTTTTGTGGTTTTCCTCAGCCCGTCCAAGCAAAAGTTGGTAGAGTACCTTGTGCTTACATAAGTAGACATCCCTTCCTTAATTAAAATTTTTAGCACAATTGTAGAGTGAACTAATATTAACCTTTTGCCCATTCCATTTATAAATTGGTTTGTGATGATATAAGATGAGGTATCTTCTAGTTATTTAAATTTTAAATGAGATATCCATATATTTTACTACATTAGAAGGGGCAGACCCTATTTAGTTGTGTGGTCACATCTGAAAGTTGCAAAATGTGTATATTAGTTTTACCATATGTGTCTGACATCAGTTGCATGTAACAACTTGAGAACTGCTGAATGAATTTTCATTAAATTTGATATCAGGGAGTTCTGCAAAAGAATTGTAGAACCATTCCAGTTTTTGTTAAAAAATGATATCAATAGCGGGTACTTTATATGAAGACCAGTTTGCAGATGTGTTCTGGGGTAAATCTCCAGCCAGACATCCTCACCCACACAGCCACATGGGGATATCTCCAGATATGTCAGCTAGCCAGGCACCTTGTTTGTGGAAAGGTCATTGACCACACAGTTTTCCACTGGCATCATACTTACAGTCAAAGGCCTTTTTTTACAGAATAAAGAGCCTTCCATAAATACTTCAGCTGCATAAGTGGACATTTTCAAAGTGATAATCTAGAAGCAGTCATAGAGCAAATGCACTGAAATTGTTATGCTGTGTGTACATTTTCTGACTTGATAATTTTCTATGCTGTGTTAAGTTAGGAGGAGCAAAGGTTACTATTTACTACAGCTACATCTGAAGGTAATAACATTGGGTTCTTGTCTGAGAATGGTCTTATCTCTGTGTACTTTGAGTGTTTTGTATTCCCATTCATTTGTTCAGTATATTGTTTGCAGTAGGTGTAGATGTATTTTTTATAAGAGGCAAACTGTATTTCATTTCTTTTTAAGTTCAGTTTTCTAATTAGTGTTATGTTTTATTTCTAGAAAATTATTCTTCACCCCATTAAATTAACGGCACAGAATGCATCGTCTCGGGACTCTCAACGGAAGCCCCTTCACAATTCTTGTCAGGTATGATAATGGTTCATAAAATAACTGCACAGAGGTGGGAAATGAAAGTTTGGGTTCAGTGGTTTTTGATCCTGCAAAATGTGTAATTTCATATTAACTTTTCAGGCATTGTGTGTTCTGTCTTTTTTATGGGGGCGGGGGGGGGGGGGGGGGGGGCATAGCTCCAGTTAATGGCGCTAGAGTTGGTTAACATCCTGCAAGCATAATTGTAGCTTCTGATGTGTGATTACTCTGAAGTTAGCTTTTTATGTTATTTTGTTTCTTAGCTTAGTCTGCTGTGTATTATGCAGTTTTGTTTTATTTTTATTTGCTTGTTTGATAAGATGTGATTGTAACATAAAAGGGAACAAAAACTATTTTCTTAGAAGAGGAGCTCAACATAATATGAGACCTGGCAAATCCATGGAGATTACCAGCCCTGGATATATTGGTCAGAAAACATAATGTAATTGAAGAAAATTCAAATCAAATGTGAATGATGTCAGATTATTTTTGCAGAAATAAATACAGGTAAACCTCGATTCACGCTGGGGTTGCGTTCTTGGATGAACCGGCGTAAATTGAAACTCTTTTTATAATGTAAATCAATGGGAAGTCAATGACATGCGTTCCCAGCACCCAAACATTGATGACTTAAGTTCCTCAAAAATTGACTTTGCCTTATCCGTGATAGCAATTTCAGTCAAGGGAATGTTTTTTTGATTCATGTCATCCACCCATAGCAACAGTATTTTCTCCATTCTTTCTAAAAGTTTACTTCTGCTATAACTCACTTGCGTTGCACTTACTCTCATAGCCTGTTGCATTGACTGTTTTATTTTATACTGTTTTATTGTGCAGGAAAAACGTGAGGAAAGGGACCGCATTGCACGAGTGGGAGACTGGTCAGAACACATTAGTTCATCAGGGAAGAAGTACTACTACAATTGCAAGACAGAGGTATCACAGTGGGAGAAACCTCGGGAGTGGATGGAACGTGAACGCATTAGAGATAAGGCCAGAGATAGGGAAGTTGATAGAAACTATAGCAGCAGTTCCAGTCGTTCCTGTGAGTGAAGAATGTATGATAATTAATACTGCCCACAGACAGTTGTTGGTTTTACTTTTATTACAGCCTGTTGTTTGTTTTATAGCACATGATAAACATTCCAGTTCTCGGCCCTCAATAAGTAATTTAAGGGACCCTGCTCCAAAGTCAGCATCTTCACGGCAAGCAGACAAGAGGGATGTGTACTGGAACAACCAGTCAAGTGGAAGCAGGGATGAGACTGATGCACATGATCGGAGGAAACATCTTGATGGTGAGATAATATTGCTTTTTAGTCAGTTTGAGTTACTATATTTACCTCCTCAGTGCCATCTGTTGTAATTTTAATTTTAATTAATCATATGGTGGTAAGTAGCTCCCAATGCTAGTTTGATCAAAATACAATAAGCAGTAAATAGATTAAAATAAAATTTCATTTATATTACTCCATTAAGGTTCATCCCCTCTTACAATGACATCTTTTGTTGAAGTCATGTTACAAAATACACCCACAATTTTCTTTTTCACTCATCCTCCTTATGCAGAGAACCATGTCATATAATAGGCTACTGGTCAGATATGTTACCAGAGTTGTAATCTGTATGTAACAGCCAGTGCTTGCGTTTCCTACTCTGTCTTCTAAATGGAGCTTTTTAGTAAAAGAAAATTGGTTCTTTCAGTATTAAGATGATGATTGTCTTCTAGGGTGTAACACTATGTAGTCTTTGTCATTTCATCTGACATAGAGGGCTTACCCATTTCTATGACACTGTTAGTCACATGCCCCTGTTGCATGCTTTTGCAGTTGTTTTGAAGGCTGGAGAGGACAATCCCCGCACATATTCTTTCTCAGTACTGTACATTCAGTATCCTGTGCAAAATGTGTTTGCTGGTAAATAAGATATCAAAATGCAGCATTAGTTAGCAGTACATTCAGGTACATTTGAAATAACTCTGTACACCAAAAAGATTATTTCTTCACCAGAGCCATTTGTAGTACTTTTTATGTAGTTCAAAGCAAATTTGAGGTACATATTTTCCAAAAAATGATTGTGCTTTGTCAGATAAATTGCTTTAGGCTGTTGTGACTGTAATATCTTACATTCTTCCTACAAAGCAACGTACAGATATGAAGTGCAAACAGTATTGCATGCTAGCTATGATACAGAGGTTAACCATCCGTATTATATATAGTAAATTTGTTTGTTTTACAGGTGAGTCTCAGGCACAAGACATGGACATCTCTCCAGGTGACAGCACTCCCACATCAGAAACATCATATACACACACACCTACTAGCAGAGGAACATCCCACCAACAGCAGCAACCACCACCCCAAGTTCAGCCTCAAACACAACAACAGCAAGCACCACCACAGATGTCGTCAGAGCATCACAACTCTAACACAACGGGACCAGTGCTGCTTGCAACTGCCCTCCCACATCTAGTATCACATCCACCCCATCCACACATCTCCACATCCACTAGCACCACTTCCATGGCTCGAGGTAATAACCTGTATCAACAGCCTGGTAAGTCCAGTACTCAGCAAATCCCCTCTCCTGTCCAGCAGTCCTCCACATCTTCAGCCCCCTCCATGGTTCCTGCACCACTCCAGGTTTCTGTAGCTGCACCAGGCCCAGGGCCAGGTCCTCCTGTGACACTCGCCAACTTGCCCCGTCTGCTTTCTCAGATTACGGGTGCCAAGAATCTGGAACAGTCTGAATTGTCACCCCAGAAAGCCCTACAGACCCTTCAAACAGCCCTGCTTCTATCTAGGCAGGTGTCTCTTGAACCAGGAGCTGCAGGAACAGTGGGAGGGGGAGTGAGTGCTGGCCTTAATAACCAGCATCCTTCTCAACCACTGCAACCACTGAAAGTGGACACAACTAACACTACATCAATAGGAGAGGGCCCTCCCACGCCAACACATTCTGAAAGTCAGGACTGCGTGGATGCAAGAAAATGTAAGTAGATATCTTGAAGTTTTGGTTTTGTGTTCTGCCCAAACCTTTTGTCACAATTGCTGAACTTTTTTTTTCCCCCACGGCTCGTACATTTTCTGTGCTTTGTGCGTCAGATAGCTGCGAGATCTTTGCTTTCTATCAGCACTTACAAATTCACTATCTTTTTTCCCACTGCAAGCAGTACTTCAGCATGAGGTCAGCTAGTCTGGCTGTCACTAAGATACTTTTGTGATAACAAACATTAAATTCCCACCGTAATGTTTTATTGTTCTAGACATTATAACCTCAAAACATGATTTCTCGTAATTTACTCCATAGTTTTCCACCCATTTCTTTGTCTTTCGCGCAGTGGTCTGATCTGGAGATAGTGTGAGTTTGTCCTCACCTAGTAACCTAAGCTACTCATCCAAGATTTTTTTAAATCTAAAATTGTCAATGTGGTGAAGTAATACAAAGATGTTTCATACAGAATGTTCAGATGTGTTTATGAAAGATTGCAAGGGTAAGTCAGAAAGTATCTGCAAAGTGTTTGTTTTTGTGATTGGCCCCACTGTTGAATGTCACAACCACAGAATCTCCATGTGGTGATGTATTTGATCTTAACCATTCAGTTGTCTTGCGTGATCAGCATAGTTGTCACATGGAACAAAGAACGTAGTATGCATTGATTAGGTTTTGTGGACTGAGCGTGTCGGAGGTACAGAACTTCTGTACAGACTATCAGCACAGTATGGTGACAGTGAAGCGTGCTCAAATGGATTGACATGTTTATGGTGGCTGAAGTGGTGAATGATGATAAGAGTCCCCATCTGCATTGGGGACTAAAGAGAACACTGAGCAAATCTGCTCGTGATTCTCGAAAGAAGGATTACTGTTAAAGTGGTAGTCCAGCTGCAGATTAATTGTGGTTCTGCTTTTGAAATCTTCCATGACATACTACACTTCCATAAAGTTTGTGCGAGATGGTTCCATAAAATTTACCAAATAGTATAGACGTAATTATTTGGATATCTGTAACTGTCTTTTTTGCTGGTATAATGAGGAAAATGATGCCTATGTGTCACAAGGTGGATAGAATTAAAGAATTGAATAACACATTTCAAAAATATGTGTATGCTTCTGGAGTACGTCTTTCTGCCCTTGTTTCTTTTTATCATTTCTATTCATACTTATAGTCTGTGTCATTTGTGAAGACAGCTTCTCATGAAAGCTGTGTACTCAATTTCTGTATAGATATCCTTACACTTTTAATTAGATGGCGACATTTGCAGTTTTCCGAAATGTTGAATGATTCTCAACATTTGACATGGCTCATCCCTAAAAGCCGAAGTTGTACGTCAAACTCCAGCTGCAAAAACCAATGTAGTTATGAATCACTGACTTATCTGCTGTTGTTACTGAGACTAATATAGCAATATTTTCAAATTTTTGGCCAGTTCTTGGATTACACTGAAAGTAATGATCATGTTTTTACTTTAAGTTAAAATACTGTCATTTATTCCTTTATATTCTTGTAATGAAAAAAATATCATATTTTATTGTCACCTTTATAAGCAGTCATGCAGAAACTTTAAAACTTCTTTTATAGCACAAAATAGGTTGGGGAAAAAATGAGATTGGCGGTGAACATTGGCCAATGAAAACAAATGACTTATTTTGCCATCTTGATTTCATAATACCGTGCTTTTGCGATGGTCTCACTTTTTAACAACATGAACTGTGAATATTGTGTCAACTGACAAGAATGAAATACCATTTGAAACACATTAAAGAACTTTATTACATTAGTAAGCTGTATGTACTTCCAAGTAGTCTAATAGTTGTTAGAACTATGCAAATGCCTTTGCTGTTTTAATTGTGCACTTGAACATTTGAAAGTGTTCTTTAATGGAGAGTGATTTGTGATTTTTTTTTTGAGGTAGTCGGTAGCTCTGACTTCGTAGCGTTGAATGATAGGACGATTAATGAGTAATGGATTAGAAAGGCTATGGAGGAAGCTGTCATGGCCTAATTTAAGATACTATTACAGTATTTACTTGGGTGGACTGAGGAAAACCACACAAAATCTCAATCAGAATAGCCAGTCTTCAGACCAATATTTGAACCCGGGAAATCCCAGCTACAAAGCAGGAGCACTGATAATGGAAAACAGTGTGCAAGTATATTTCTTAGTCAGCAGCTGCCAATGAAAAGCATTTGTCGTCTGTGTTTTTGCACCACATAGTGGGACTTGGAATTTATACAGCCTATCATTGTATAGAAATTGTTCTAGCAAAAATATATTAGGGTATCAAATCAAGGGCCCAAGCCTCACGGAGATCCCGCAATGACAGAAAGCACATTTATGAAGTTTAGACATAACATAACAAGGTGTTGAATTCCATACTGTGCAAACATGTATGTGTCTGTATAATGGATTCTTCTCGGGCTACCAGCCGTGAAAGATGGTAGCCCGAGGAGAATCCATTATAATTAGTCGCTGTCAAAGCTTCAGATGATACATGCATGTGTCTGGGCCTGGTAGTGCGTGTTTAGTGTTCATTTCTGCTACAGAAATGCACCAAATAGTCTGGATAAGGAGAAAATTTTATATTCTTCTGCCATCACCATATTTTTATTCTTCCATGAAGCATCACGTTTCAAAGTTATCATAGGCGTGAAAGTACATTCAAGCGTTTCTACACAGTAGAGGGAATTTAATTTTGCTGAAGTGTTCGATTCAACGCGTTGCCTTGATAATAAATACTGCCCTTGTTTAATTGTCTTGTAATGGGGCTTGTGAGTGTTTATTATTTAATAGTTGACAGTAGACATTAAATAAGGGACAACAGTGGGTATGAAGGCTGCAGCAGTAATATTCAATGAGAAAATGCATTAATGAAGAGAAGCATGCATGCATAGTATTGAAACTTCTCTGACAGTTTGTTACTTTACAGAGGGAGTCCTTAATTATGTTGAAACTGGTAGGGAGACAGCAGCGTAAACAGTAGAATTAAGTAAACGATAAAGATAACACCAATGACCAAAACATGCAAACTAAGCAACGTGTATTTTTGAATGGATTCTGTTCCATGCATGCCTGAAGATTTTTAAGCCTTCACGACGAGTGAATTAATTGAAGTGTTCTCGGGCGATCAGCCGTGTGAGAGTGGCGTAATCTGTTTCTGGCTGTGCCCGAGAAGACTTTATTGTATTGATCTATACATCATTCCTCTGAGTGATGAGAGGGTTTGGAGCTGGAAGGGGGTATAGCGTAAACTGTGAAAACCATCGTATGGAAATAAAGGAAAGGCAGTTATGCTGTGAGAACTCTGGTTTCATACTCATGATAAATTGGGTGGACCTACTATGCGACAGGTTTAATTCCACAAGTTTAATGCACGAAGTACAAGAGCAAATAATTCATGTGTATTGTGAATAGGCAGCTGCTTCATAACAGACTGTTCATATCAATTTGTTCTTGCTAGAAAAAATACTTATGACTGGAATATGGAAGAAAGATGATGTGCTGGATACATTATTAGCATTGATGATTGAAACAAGTTTTGTTGGAGAGGTTAAAAGGTAATTTGAATTAATGCCTAAGAAGGTAACTGAAATGAAAACAATGCCCTTGCTCTGACATGCGTTTATAGCTTTACAGTGCAGGTAACGTCATTTCTCGATCTTCTTTTCCAATGCACATCTTCGAGTGTAATTGATACCATTGGACTGGGGGGGGGGGCGTTATCGCGCAATCTATTTTGCACCTCAAATTGCAATATATTGCCAGTATGAAAGTAGATCCCACTAAGGGCGCAAGATGTGGTAAGACATATGACAGGATTTCCGCGGACTTAGATTCAGACGACAGATTCTGCATGGAATCAGTTATTACGCGACGTCCGAGAAAACAGAAATTTTCCAACTGATTGAGCTGCTCATAATTTGTATTTGGCTTCGGTAGTAAATGATGAAGGTAATTTTGCAAGCTTGATTTCGAGCTGGATATGGTGCACCCACGACTGCTCTTTCACAGTTTGTCGAAGAAAATCTCGTCGCTCTAGGCTTCATTCCGTGTTACTAAGGCTCTGTATTTTTAGAAGCGTCTGCTTCATTTTTGTTTTCAACCGGCATGGAATCAAACGCGTTGAATCCTATCTCCTTATGGACTGAACTTCGTAGAGAGGCTATAAAAATTCTGTTAAACCTTTAGACACAGTCTCATTTACGTAAACGTTATAAGTTTTTATATAATTCTAGCCATATTGGCCTCTATTGCCTTAAAAGTGATTTCGTAGAAACAACCGCATGGACCGTAAAACTAATATAAATGTTATTCATTATCCGAATTGGCGTTCATCTTCCTCGTGATGACCATGGTTTAAAACGTTGACAGTTAAAAACCAAGAGACTTTTCTGTGTCTAGTTTTCGGTCTGGACTAAGATGCCCGACAGAACAGGCAAGAGAAAATGCTGTGTAGCCCACATTATAAATGTCTACCTCAAATTAAAGCAAAACTAGAAGTGGAGCATATGTTTTGACAGAAATGTACATTAAAATTTGGGATTTTCTGCAGCTGATTTGGGTCTGAGCCTGTGAACTCTGCGCTAATGTTGTTGACCTGTATGTTTCGGTCTCGACATCGAATCATGCCGTCTATTATCTTGAATTTAATTTCCTGAGATTTCTTCAGTCTCCCTTCAAAAACATCTTCACAGTTCATACTCACCCTTACATTTCATCAGAATGAAAATAACATTTATACAGAATTGTTAAAGCAAGAATCGAAGTCCGTTAGCGGGTTGATGTTGGACGAAACGATTAGAGCGTTTGTCACAGTCGGGCCCTTCAGTAGGTACTTCGAGCCTCATCTGAATTAGCGTGGGAAAAGTTCGGTTTCGATTGGGTGCGGGCGAATTATCTGACCCGGCCGGGTTGGTCAGAGTTACAGAATACCATTCTTACAATTTTAGGAACGGACGAATATTGACACCGGCCTGATTAAACAACAGTTTTGCTTATTTCGCCACTTGTAGTCCATTAGTCTATTGCAGTGGTCCCCAACCTTTTTGTGCCTACGGGCACATTTGAGAGTTTATGAGATCGTGGCGGGAACCAACCAATTAACAAAGCCAAGTATTCTTTTCTCTGGACAAATAAGATATGGACACCAAATAATACGCAAAACAACACGACGTTTAATGATACAAGAAACCACGCAATCAAAAATACGTACTTTTATAAGTACAATTGTTATTACTCAAGTGGGAAGTTAGTGTGATGTTTTGCACTGCATTTCATGGGCCAGTTTTTCAAATTTGGGAGTGTAGGATGATGTTGCTGCTCGCAAACGATCGTCAAGATGGACGTCAGTAAGTCGAGATCTGTGCTTTGATTTTATAATGTTCATGGTTGAACTGCCTTCATTATTCAGTATAACCTCTTTCCGTAACAACGCGAGCACCTAAAAAAAAGCCATGGCGCCCGCGGGCACCGCGTTGGGGACCACTGGGATATTGTGTTTATTTTGAAATGTTTTGTTTGTGTCCCGTTCTAGAAAACTTTAGTGCATTTTACTCCAGTCATAGGTCTGCTAATGCATTAACAGTAATTCGAACACTTCATTCCACGATTGACTTGCCGCGGTGATGGTGCGTTGCAAACTTGTAGTGGAAGGTCACGTACTGTACATGGGGGTGGTCTGACTCAAATAGTGTGTTGTAGGCAGCAGCCTGAAAAGGTGGTACAACTCGCTTCGAAATAAACAGTGAGTTTAGCCTTCATAGTATCGGGTACAAAAAATGCATATATTGAGACTTCGAGGTGCTCCGTGTATTTGTAACGTTCTGAAAGAAACGTAATTCATTTTAAGGTTTAATCGGAAGCTGTGCTATTTGAGGCCGACATGTGGTTGTAAAACAATCGCGCCCATACAGACGGTAATTCTAAAAATCTGTTCATCTCACCCCAAATTGTATAATTAAAAATATGATTTTGCCTCAATTTATTTTCCGAAGTACATTCGATTTTGTGAATATGTAACGACAATTGTTTCTAAGCAAGTCAATTATTCTTGGACTCGCATAAGAACCTTTACAGTCGGGCATCAACTCTCTTCCTTTTTCTGTACTTTTGGGTTAGAAAATCAGATTTTAAAAAAAGAAAATCTGCCAAAATTTAAAAACCAACAATTGAAATTATTAAGATGGTGGCCTTCCGTGTTATTTTGCCGTGTAGTCTGGAAGAAGTATACCAACGTTTGAGAGGTCCTTGCTGCCTTCATCATCAGAGCAGTGAGTCCTGTATGGTGTAGGCAGCGAGCACCTCTGAAACAATGGTAAACTTTTACCAGACCACAGAGCACAACAACCCAGAAGACAGCCAATTTCATATTTGCAGCCACAAGAACCTGAAATCTCAAATAAAATGATTTATTATCTGAAGATATCTGCATTGATTTTGTCCAATGCATTAGCTATCCTGACATGCTCTTGGTTTTCCTCAATCCATTCAAGTAAATTCTGAGATATTCCTTGAAGTACACCACATCTGCCCTCCACCCTCATTCTCACCTGTTGACTACACTTCATCTCACACTAGTTGATACTAAATAAACTCTGCAGTTTATGCAACATCATTTTAAATAATCCATGAACCATTCAGTTAAAGCATATTCCTGTGAACCTCACTAATACATGTTTTGTCATTTGCTCTGACTCCCCTTGAACTCCAGTAAATTATGTAACATTAATAAATGTCAAAATACTTTCCATGATGTAAAAATTGCATTAAATTATATTTATACAACTTTAAACAGATGGAAGTTATTGAAAGTACTGCGACCAGCCACACTGTGTCAAAGAAAATGGAAGAGGTATGTTAGGAAATGGTGCACTTTAATCTGAAATACATACTTGGCAGTTACAGTTGACTTGTAAAATGTTTAGGTTATTTGAGAAGTACAGGATGAACAGTATGAACTGTGAAAGTTGCATTTCAAAATAATTCCTGACACTCAGTTCTGGATGAATGATTGTTTTCCAGTGTCAAGCCCACCCAGCAATTTGAGTTCACTGCAGAACCTTGCCCAAGCTGGAGTTGGTAGTTGCAGCTCACTCCATGCACTGCGCCCACAAGGTCCACACCTTACCCCTAGTTTGGCCAACCACTACCGAGATGATCTTGTAAATCATGTACGTGGGTGGCCTGCAGACGCCTTAGAGAAACAGGTATGTCTCAGAACCAGCTGTTGTAGTGGGTTTGTTATGTACTCTACTTGCTCTGATGTAAGTGGAAAAACACCTTATTGGCTCATATCTAGAGGGTCTTATCCCAGATGTTGCCCAATTAGGGCTCTTTCCCCTCAGGCCTTTGCCACCTAAGCCCTGCCTGACTTTTGGGCTTTGCCCATAGGGCTTACTCCCCATGGGTTCCCCCCCCAGGGGCTTGTGTTTACTCAGACATCTGGAAGATGGGGTTTCTCCAGGGGTGTCAGTCACTGGTCACTTTAATGTCCCTCACATTTATTCCCAGCTCAATTTTTAACCACTGAGTCTTTAATAACCAGACCCTTCCACACCATTCTTGTTTGCTTGGGCCTGGCCCCTATGCTCGCTTTTCTACAGGGTTTGCCACACTGACTTCCTCTTATATATCTAACCCAACCAGGCTTTTAAAACCAATTCCTTTACCTACAGTTCTGTATGTTTCATATCCAAAAACAGATTTTGATTAAATTTTGGGATTAGTGGTTTATATCAACAGTTGCTGAATGAAATTTATTTTGGTTTGTTTTTCTTTACTGTAATCCCTGCTTTACATGAAGTTTGAAACAAACTAGAGTTTTTCTTGTATTTCATTAGGTATTAAACACTTTCATATGGTAATGGGGATTTAAACACTTTTATTATGGGGCTGCTAGCTGGGCTTTCGCTATGATATCCTTATGAAATACATGGACATATGGATTGCACATAAGCCATGATGTGTGGCTAGTGAAGGTTAATTATATTAAAGAAATTTTACCTTCTGCAATATTTTGCAGAAACATTTCAAGAATAGGGTTCACTGTATTTTTCTTTGACTGGGTCTGATATCCTTAAAGCTCCTCTTAGAGGTATTCAGTATGTGTGTAGAAAACTTATTGATAATATCTTGGCTGATGTTTAAATTAAGTGGTCTTTAAATACAGCAATTCCATGAACCATTAAACATCTGTGACCTTGTATTTAAATTTTATTGGTTCCGCATAACGTTTCAGGCCCAAAAATTGAGTGAGGAAGGTCATACGATGGGCAGCCTCCAGTGTACCCGCGTGTCTGCTGATTTGAAGACAGCACGATCAATTGTTAGGTTAACTGAAATTCAAGCAACTTTACAAGAACAGAGGTGATATGCTTTATATTTCATGCACTAGTTTGTGTTATATTCTTGCCATTGTACTTGTTTTGAAATGTATATAAACTAATTTTGATATTTGTTTCAGGATACTTTTTCTACGCCAGCAAATCAAGACGTTAGAACAATTGAAATCCCAAAATTCCTTTATGTCTGATGAATCATAGTGCTAGGAGGCAAGCACATGACAGCATTGTGTGTTTGAGTTGAGCTAACAAGTGAGTGGGAATGAGGGAGGGAAGTTTATTGAGCGTGTGAAGATGCAGTGGTGGGGAGTGACTTCCCTCAGCATACACAATCTCCTAATTACTGCATTATTGTTTGTTGTTCTTGCAGGGAAAGTGGTATTTGGAGTCACTGTGTTGATCTGAAACTGCCTGCAGTGCGTGTCATTCTTGCTCTTTATGTGTTTACTGTATTGGCAAAGTGGGGTGGGCCAGCATTTTAATTATTTTTTGTAAAGGAATTGGGATCACATATTTAAGCATCATGTACCTTTCATAAGTATGGACATCAGTGGCAGTGAACACTTCTCCGTGGATGCCATGTTCCTTTACAAAAAGGTGAATAATTTAATAGCTTACAAATTTCCAAGATCATTTTTGGTATGAAATTACATTTCAAGAAGGTTGCTGCAGCTCTGTGTTGTAGTAGTCTTGGAAGGAGAAACTTGGAGTAAGCGAAGAATGTAAAATATTCCTTTATTTTGCACGTTAAGTGGTTTAATTTCCAGTGCTGATTCATGTTGTGTTGTTGCTTGCAAACTGGTGATGTTGGGGAGGGGAGGGGGTGTCATTCCAGGGTCAAGCCTGGTCCACCTAACATTGGTTGGGAAATGACAAAACTTCATGATTCAGATAGCTTTTTGTACATATTACTAAAATAATTATTGTTGTATGGGCTTCTCAAGATTCTTGCTAAATTTTTCAGTGTGTTTCAGATGTATGGATGTGCCCTGCAGGGACAGTGTTCAGCATTGTATATACAGAATACAGGGCATAAGTATGTATTTTCATACAAAGATTTGTCTTTGAAATAATTTTTTATTTAATATTATTTTGCCAAGGCATTTTTCATAGAAGCACAGCAGGGTATATTATTTGGTGTCAGATTTATTTATCTTGTCCAGAGTGTCATTCTTGAGAAGCCCATCGTTTTTCATTTAGTATGACGTAAAAGAGTATTGTTGAAGAAATAAAAAAGAAATAAAAGAGGAAGGTATTTTAACTTTTATCACCTATTGATGAGTAGGTTCTAAACAATTTTTAAGGTTAAAAAGAACATTTCTTTTCATGCCATTTCTAATGGCGTTTGTCTTGTACTTCTATGTGTACAGTTTAAATTTTTATTTTTAATTCTGTCTTGGATGCATGCTGCAGATTTCATCAACCCCCTTGTCCTGAGTGCACTAATTGATGTGCCACAGCACAAGAGTTGTCATACCTTGTGCATTGAGGTGACTTCACAAATTATATGATTGGATCGTCAATTTCTCACATCATTTCCAGAGACGATTTCATACGTGTATGTTAGACTGTTGTATTTAAACTACTAGGTGCAGTAGTGATGTTTTCAAGCTGTTGTTGTAAATAATGTGTATTCAGTGCAAGGGGTAGCTAAATAAACCATCTTTCTTCACCTCAAGCTGGAGAGCTTACATTAATTTTCCTGCTCAGTTGTTTTCCTCTCCTGAAGTAATTAGATACACCCATTGAAATGTAAATGGCAGCTGCGGTGCATTTGGAATATTTTCCATTTAAATCAAAGCTCTGGTAGTAGCAGATCTGTTCGCTTAAATGCCCTTTCATTTTTGAAACCCCCAGGGCAAGGAAATATACTGCTTGCAGAAAACCCACATAACCTATAATAACAGTTTTTATGATTTTATTTCTATGATATTTGAATAGAGGATTTAAAACGCTGTACCATGGGGCTGCTTGTTGATCCTGACTCTAGAGTGTAGCAGAATGTTACCGTGATGCATACACACAGGCAGCTGGATCTCATACACCATGACACAGCTGATAAAAGTTAAGGGCATCATCTCAATTATAGCTGTCAGTTATAATAATAATTATATTTACATATGATTCCCTTTTCCTTGACAGCAGGCTAAAAATAAATCAAACATACAACAGGGAGTCATTTTTCATACTTAACATGAAGTTGTGGATACAGTTCTGTTCTTGAAAGTTCTTTCTATTCTGATCCACAGAGCTTGTGTTTGACAAAGTAAATTGTGTCTCCCTACATCCACACACAGTGGCACTTTTCTGATGGCATCCCTAAAGGTAAAGTACTTTTTCTTACCTTCTTCTGCCCCAAAAAGAGTCACCTATGACCTGTCTCACCAAATTCCAGCTGCCTCTTGCCATATAGATACACAGTAGATGGTTGGTAATAATACAGAATAAAACTATACTTCCATTTAACTTGCTCACAGAATGTCAGGATATTCTTAATTTTCTAGTAAAGTGGTACTTTCTAAATTTCACTTTCTACAAAACCCTTGGAAGATGAAGCCATCATGGACCATATGAACCGGGTCATTATAAAAATAAATTCTTTGCATAAAATGGGTTTTTGTGGTCATTGTATTAAATAAGCACAAAGCATAAGGACATGTGAACAGTGCCTTCAAGCCCAGGCAGAAAATGTGCTGTTAACCTAAACTAACACCCCTATCCAAGTCATATATGAAGCTTGAAAATGTTTTAATTAAACCTCTATAAACTTCAATGAGCTGTGCTATATATCTCGGGTATTGTCTCAGCTTATGCATCTTGTTCAAAACAACTACAGTTTACTGCATTTAGCATAGCAATAGTATAAAGATCTAATGTGGCCTGTTGCATGAAACATGGTGAAGTTAAACTATACCGAAAGACTAACTAACAGACACTTGGCAGGCCAGTTGAGCAAAACAAACGTGTATAGCTAAAAACACTGATAAAAGTGAACACTGAGGAATGCCAATAAAATGAAAGATTAATGAAGATTTATAGTTTTAGTTTTCATCCTCCTGATTTTATTATATAGAATGGAAATTCCTTCATTGTAAAATTCACTTTAACAGAAATTATAAGTTAGCACAAGGAGCACATCAGCTGCAGATTAAACATGGAGCATGCCAGGAAGTTTCCCTTATTATGGCACACAAACTATGAGGAGTCCCTCTGTAGATGTGTGTTATGTCAGATGCCAATTATGTATAATATTGCTCAGAAATTCGTAGTCAGAGAAGTGTCTTGAATTTGCAAATTCAGTAATGGACATCCACGGAAGTTTTTACTAGTCTATTTCAGAAAGGACCATTTTGTATCTTGCTTATTTTTTGACTTGGTACAGGTTGGAAGATGAGCCGGGATAGCTCAGTCAGTATAGTGACTAGCTACGGGATTAAAATTGGCTTAGAACAGGTACCAACACTTGGCTTTTGTGATGACAGTGATGGGTCTTTTGGTTCCATAACAGGCAATTTCTTTGTCATGACTTGTCTACTGCTGACAGAACACCCTATATCATGGAATTGATCACTTTATATAAATGCAAAGAAAGTTTCATGATACCATTCTATAACAACATTGTTAGTCTTATAAAAGTACACACCATTATTACAAAACCCTCCATAGATCAGTTGGTAGCATGTTCACCTACACTGCAGGTAGCCTGTTTTATTTTTTTAATCACCATGTCTATAATGACTTTGGAGACCATAAAATGTGCTTATCCTTGCATTTATTAGTTTTCTTTCTTCCTTTATTCACATTCAAGAATGAGAGAATTGTGCTAGCCACACTGTAGGTGAACATATTATGAACTGAGCTATTGTGGAGAATGTAATGGTGTGTACTTTTGTAAGACTTTTTGAAGTCATGGTGAAGAAACTGGAAAATAAAATTCAGTGGAGTGTTGACACCTAATATATTGGCTAGGAAGTCAGAGGAGGGTTCCCTGTCATATTGCAAAACTGGAGCCATATTGGAGGTTTCAGTTAACCAGGTTCCCTTGTTAGTGTCCTTTAGACAAATTCTTTTTAAAAGAATTACATGAGAAGCATTTTAGTGTTGTTTTGCAACTACCATAGAGATAATAATTGTTTCATAGGGTATTGTGATATATGCTTCAGAATACAGCCTCTACCTATAATATTGTATGGGAAAATACTTTAGATTTATAGGAACATCTTAAAGATAAGTTGTGGTTTAACTGTACGTATTCTGAATTTAGTAGGATTTGAGGTTTCCACAGGGGTGAGTCAAAGGATGGCTGTCTTCTCGATGCACCTCGTGGTCTGGTAGAAGTTTAACAACCCAGAAGACAGCCATCTTCATACTGTGAATTTGTTGAAGACTGAAGACAGACTGACTCTGGAAGGAGCCTTTATTACAGCATTTAATTTATACAACAGTGAACAGAAAAGAATGTAAGTTCAAACACAAATGAGTTCTCAGAAAAAGTACAATATGACATCCTATTATTATATGTTACATTGTGTAGTAATAGTTCACTGTTCAAAAAATTCAGGGTTTCTCATCAGTAGTTGTCAGTTCAAGATATGTCTTTTCTTTGTGGAACATGAATGTTGGTCATCATAAAAAAATGGTTTGGACCCTACAAGAGTCAGTTCACCAGAAGCTACGGAAAAGGAAATAAAAATTAAGATGAAAGAGCTAACATATTAAGGTTGATCAAAATGGGAAATAAAACCACAGCTGGAGATACCAAACATGATAAAACACTTATTCTATAAATTGTCTTTGTGCTTCTAAGTATAAATTTCTTGGTGTTCAGTAAGGCCTTGACTCGATGAAAATTGCATTTGACATTAAGTCCTTACCAAGCACCAAATATTTAAGAATAAAGCAAGATTAACAAACAGTGGAATCTTCAATATTACTATATATGAGAGTTGTAGGGTATAATATCATATTTCAGATCTCAGTCTGTCAGACAAATATCGAAGTTAGCATGTGCAATGAGTAGCACACACTGAGATAATCCATTTCTGACATGCAGTTGAGAATCATCTGGAAATGAAGTGTACTTGAGCACATGCTGAATTATATGATTTATACAAGACACTACATAATTCACTTCAAATAATTAGTACGTTTGTATACTTGTGCTGAAGGAGAAGCTTTCTCTATCACATACCAGTTTCTATTTTCAGAAAAATAATGTGATATAGTGGCAAAAATAAGTACCTTACTCACAGTATTATTTCCTACACTTTGGAATTCCATATTTTAATTGGTATTAACACAATCAACTCTTACAGATATTACATATGGTATATACCTAGATTATCAGTACTGACTGATTTATAAGCCACCGGTCTAACACTGAAAAGTGTAGGACAGCTACCAAGAGTTGTGCTCCACATACATGTGTCCAAAATATGACACTCGGCAGATTCTATTTTAGCAGTATAGGAGTCAATTCAAGATATCTTAAATTATGGCATCATGCCAGGTCACGTATTCCTACAATGTCCTTTTGACATTGTATAAATGATGTATTATCATGTGACAAATTTATTGGTCTTACTAAATGAACTCGAGTAATTAACTACAATCAGAACTGTTACATTCCCATAATTGGTTTGTATGCTGTATCATCTGCAACTGACGTAGCAGTTACATTAATTAATCTTTAATACACCAGACCCGGCTTCTAAATCAACTACTTTAACCATATGCAGCCATACTACCATATTACATCTATAGCAGGCTACAAACCTAATATGCAAATCGGAGCTTAGCGTCATATCCCATCTTGTCCAAGTTTGGAACACAAGCAACATTGATCATAGGTGGTGGTCCACACATAAGCACCAAAGTATCTTGGCTTGGAGGGAATAAATGATCCTTGATCATTTCATCAGAGATGAAACCAACACTGTATTTCCATCCTGCAAAGGGTAACATTTTCAAAGTGATATTTTTTTGCACATGAGTTAAGAATATTAGTATAACAAGATAACTTTGTCCTCCTTTGTCCTCTGTTAACCATCAAATAAGAACACATGGAAATGTATGCATTAACAATGATTCGTGAAAGAAGACAAATGTAAATATGAACATCAGAACAATGTTTGGCTGAGGTGAGTTATATATTTCTGTTGAAAATATATAGTTATAGGTGATATTTTGTATACTGAACTCTCAGTACTTAAGTTTCATTTGTATGTTCTATCAGGTTTCAGAATTTAGATACATGAAACACACTGTATAACCCTTATAAACAGTTCTGTTTATCACCAAACCAGGATTAATAACATCTACAGACTCCTACTGCTGATAAGGTCACACAGGCCTGTGTATGATATACATTAAGGATTTATTTCCATTCAAGACTGGTTTAAGTGTGGTACTGAAACTAAGTAAACTGTTCCACAGAACTTTTATCTGTTGAATGTTTTAAAGCATTTGTTTTGGAGAACATATTGCTGAAAAGATCTGTTTTACAACACCATGTAAAACAACAAAGGTAGAAAAGTTTTTTGAAGAGAAACTGGATGACATTGGGCTAGAGCCATGTACAAGGATGGTGAAGGTGCATATATTGTAACACAATCAGTGGACATTTTTGGCAATGTCATAACTGCTTCCCAGAAATGGATTCACCAGCTTTTGGTTTACCATATTAATCACACACCTGCTTACAGCAAGCTTCCATAACAAGGACATGACAACAAAGTACTATACAAGCTCAATATAATGCATGCAGGTAATTTTTCAACCTAAAAATGTGGTTATTGGTTTGATGCTAGTGTAATTCCTTGTTATAAAGGCATCTCATATGGACTCCACAGATAATGTTATGGTAGGGCATGTGTGTGTTCATGTGGTTATGTACAGTAAAAGCAGAGAATATGTGCCTAAGTAATGACTCCATACAGCAATGTAGTCACAAAATCAAGTTATACTCCTAAAAGATACTTACCTTCACTTGGCCTGTCCACTGTGTACCAAAGTTTAAACTGTGAAGGATGTGCAGTTGCCACTTCTTCCAATTCATTTTTCAGCAAGATGTCATCTTCTGATTGATTCGCAAACAGCAGAGCCATTTCAGTGTTATCATCTGGGTCTCGAGTTATGTGATGAATTAGCTGAAGCATTGGTGTGATTCCAGTACCACCTATCAATAATTAAATTTCAAGTACTTTTTCCTTTGGCAACATATGTATGATGTAAGAGGTGATCAAACCACATCACCCCCCTCCTCAAACTTTTTCTTTGTTTCTTCCTTCTTTTGTGGCTTCATAATTGTGTTCAAATACAAGACTCATGAAGTTGTAATCAAATGATTTTATCTACAGATTTTATGTGCTTAGTATCATATAGTCCAATGCACATACACTTACTCAAAAAGTAGAATGTCTCTCAGCAAACTAAATATTTGGACTCTGTGAAGTGAACGTTCATCCCTCCCCTTTATACCTTATTATCTGTACCTCACCATCTTAAATTTATTTTAAAAAATATGCAAGGGATATACATATACTATGTGCTATACATACCGGCAATCATTGCTACTTTCTTAACTGAAACAGCAGTTGGTGGGTCTTTCCTAAGAACTTTTATAGCAAATGCCCCCTTTCCAAGGTACACAAGCCGACCCGAAGGGCCACGAACATCAACTGTATCTCCAAGTTTCATATTATCCAAGTACTGGCTCATTTTTCCACCCTCTGGAAACTTTGGATGCACATTCCTGAAGTATACCTGCATCAATACGAGTATTAAGTATTTTGCTTTAGGGTCTAAACTGACACAACTAAATATGAGTAAATAAAATCACAAATACAAATATAACTTAAAAGAAAGGGAACAAAAATTATGGGGAGATGAGAAATGCATACAATTTATGTGAGGAACTTAAAGGGAAGGCATTTTGGCCAGCTCTTGTGAACACAGTAATTATTCTTCAAGGTCTACAAAAGATTTGGATTTTTTGTTCCTG